TGAAAATCCTGCCTCCTCAGAAGGGTGGGAAAGGCGGTTGAACGGCGGTGGTTTTGGTGATAGTCTCCATAGAGCCCTGGGACTCGGAGTCTGGGTTTTCCTTCAGGATGGTTTGGAGGGATGCTTCAGGACGTCGGCCAATTTGCAGCATATTAACGGTTGGCGAGAACTGGTCGACGATATGATCGGTGAGAGGATAGATGTCTCCCACCTGGTCGGTGAATTTGCCCCTTAGGGCATCTTTGTAGGAGGCGGCGATGCTGGTGAGCCCAAAGGGTAGGGCCGTAACCCCTGGAGTTTCATGATCGGCCTCAATGGATCAGAATCGAAGGGTGGTCGGCGCTGAACCAGAGTGGTCAGGGCCAATTCCACGAAGGAGAGGCAGTCGGCGAGCTTCTGGCCAACCTGATCGATGGATGCGATCAGATCGTCGTTGTCGATCCACTTCCTCGGATAGCGGGGGAGCGGGCGACGAATTGTTGGTGAAGACGACCTCGGAAGCGGTTTTGAGATCGGATCTGCTGTTGCAGGTGTAGGTGTGGTCGACGTAGAGTCGATCTGCACCAGATCGATGATCTCTCCGTCTCCGTCAACATTGATGACCCAGGAGATCGATCCGACCATAAAGTTCTGGCTAGGCTTTAGGGAGGACGAAGAGCCTACAAAACATACCATCTTGTTCGTCATAGAAACAGCACGCACACCCCTACCTGGCACGCCAACTATCGACAAAAGATGCTCGACAGTCCTCCGAGGGGTATCCCACGAAGGTAGATTTATCGGCAGAGGTGCGCATAATCAAGAACAAGAAGGCAACAGAGACACAAGAGTTAGACAGGTTCGGGCCATCAGCGCGATGTAATACCCTACTCCTGTGGTCTGTTGGTTTGTATTGGCGATCGTATGATATTGCTTGTGTTTTGAGGGGGTCCCTGCCTGCCTTATATAGTCTAGGGGGCAGGGTTACAAGTCGATTAGATCTAGGAGATAACCGAAAAGTAATAACAGATTACATGAATCATGGGATCGAACGTATCCTAACAGATCTCGTAGTATCTTTAGGATATCTTCCCGATGTCTTGCGGCGCCGTGCTCCGCAAGGCTTCGTCTTGTGGGCTGGACCATCCCTAGGGGCGCAACCCATTTAGTCTGCCGTGGATATCCGGGGTTGTACCCCCACACCAAAGGAAGAAGAAATTAATCCTACGAAGTTTTCTTTTCAATTCGAGGAGGATCTCCATCCTAGTGTTGGAAATACCATGAACTATCCAATCCAACAGAGATCATTGGCACCGTTGACCCCAAATCAACATCTTCTCAATTCATATCAAGATTTGGTTGCCTAGGAGCCTCTCGAATCAACATCATCTTTCACCTCGGACACCAAATCTATATGTGATGATCTCCCATATATCCTTCCTTGTTTCTTTGCTGATGATCCAAACCAAGAAGGCGCTTCCAACTCGTGGGACGACATTGAATGGGAGCATGAATCATCTAAGTCAAAGATCCCCATCCCAATGGAGAGCAAGGATGGATATCCACTCGTAGAATGCCATATGATGGATGAATATGTTTGGTCTATGGAAATTCTCGAGAGATCAACTCTAGAGTCCAAAAAGAAAGATCATGTGGATGAGCATGGAAGATATATTCTAGAAGAGCCACATGATCCATGCTTTTATGGGAAATCTCCAGAGTCGATCATTCCTTCTACCACTTGCACCTACAAGAGCTGCAACCATCCTATGCTTCTCTTTCATCAAATCTTCAAGAGGATGGATGTGGATGCTTTTATTTACCATAAGTATTCCAAATCTAATAGTGGTTTTGGCATAGTTCTTGCAGCTCAAATTGCAAAGGTCGAGCTTATGATTTAAAACAAAGCACCACAGGGAGATAGCCTACTTTTCTTATTGTTTTCAATTCAATAAAGTTTGTTTAGTTACTATCATCATAAAAAGAAAATGGTTTTCCTTTCAAAAAACACAAACACTTTTGTTTCTCCTTCCAAACAAAATTGTGCTAACCGAATGTTAAATACACTCGAGCTTAATTGTTGCACCGACCGATATATTCATGCATTGGTTAGGTCTGTAGTATCACCTTGCCACTAGTCGTTGTAGATAACAAATCATGAAACCAGACTTTTTGAGCAAGGGCATCATGGGTAGCGTCAAGAAGAGGGAATTCAAGTCAAGGACAAGGTACAAATGTGCAATTCAAGAGTGAGGCTATTCGATCATGGAAAGCTTAGAAGCAAATGTGACAGTCTATTCGAAGTCATCATGGAGCCATCACACTTGAAAACAACAAATGTGTGGGGTGAGGGGGAGGAGAGAGCTCGAGTGAGGAAGATGGAAAGGAGCTTGAGCTCGAGGGGCGAGTTGCAATGGCAAGCTCGCCGGTCCTTTTATAAGTGGCTGGCGATTCAGCAAAGGAGGGCGGTGCGCAGCGGTGATATTTGCCGGCCATGCGGAATGGGTGGCAGGGTCAGAAACATGATGGCTTGGGAGATCTTTCCCATGGCCGGCATCATGGCATGGTGGAGTATGGTGATGGGACGAGGCGAGCTGGATGGGACGGGTCGGCTGGGCTACGCCATTGATGAGACGGGACGGTGCACGGGCTTCATGTGCTAGAGGAGGAAGGTGATGCAGTGGCAGTGATGAAGCTGACGAGTGGGGTTTCAATAAAAAAAGTTGACGAGTGGGGTCCACTCGTTAGTGGCAACACGGGTGCGTACGCGGAGGGAGAGCCAGGCCGTTTGGGCTTGTTGGGCCGCGCGAAAGGGAAGGGAGAGGGTGGCAGCCTGCTCGGCGAATGAAGGAAGAGAAGGGTGGGTTGAGCCTGGCCAAAAGAGAAGGATAGGGGAATTGGGCCTGAGGAGGTTTAGGAAAAAGAGAACGGTTTGGTCGCGATTTAAACAAGGGTTTGAAATGAATTTGAAATTTGGATCAAGGGGATAGGTTGCCACCAAATGGTTCAAAAGCAAACAAAACACTCAAGCAAGCACAACAAAAAGCATATGGTGAATTTTGATACAAGGTTTTTCGAAATTTATTTTGAAAAATGGTGTTTTGAGATAAGAAATAGCAAAGAAAATTTTAGTTTATATAGGAAATTTTTTAAAAGTTCAAATTTTTAGTGCTTTTTATCATGAGGCAAAACACAGGATGTTACAAGATGTCTGACAAGTTTTCTCGTATTGATTCATCTTGGCTGTCGTCAAAATTGCAATGGCTATGGCATAGTACATTTGTTACTTTTGGATTCTCAATCTATGTCAGAATCTGAGTTCTATCTGTGTCTGCAACCAAGATCGCTTTGCAGGTTGCAGTTGTTCTTCTTTTTGATAAATTTTTGTTGATATATAGAGAGAGTTCTACTACTACAGTACTTATTATCAAGTTAAAACTTGTCTCACGGAGATTTGGAATTTTGATTTTTTTTTTTTTTTCAAATGAAGAGAGATCTTTATTAGCTAGAAGCAGGAAGATTACAATCGGCGTTAAGGAGGTCCAGAGCACACGGCGGTGCTTGACCCAACCAAGCTGCGTAGTGTTTACAACGTCTAGCAAATAAAACTAAAGCATTGGCTATACTATTATCCTCTCTCTTCACTTGGAGATGCTGCACCCATTCATCGAAGGATTAATTGGATCTATGCCATTATAATTTCTTCGTTTATGAAGAACGCCATTACTATTCGCCTATTTGAAAACGTGTCATTACAATTCTTCGTTTCCCACAAAAATACCACTGAATACATATGAACACACTGGACCCATTTATGCGGGCGATATCTGAAGACGATATACTTCATCTCCTCACATCGACACGCGGGCCCCACGTGTCATCTTCCTCTTCCCCCTCTCCTCATCTCTCTCCATACCGACGTGGCCACGGCCACGGCGAAAGCAGCAGCAAAGACAACGCAGCAGCATGCGAGCGCGCAAAGCCGCGCAGCAGTCGGTGGCGTCAAGCGCATAGCGAACTTGGTGTTCCGGTCGGAAGGCGGCGGCGAGTGGCGGCGGGAGGAAGCGCGTCCACACGCGAACTTGGTGTTCCGGAAAGTAGTACCGTCAGGAAGGCGAGAGCGAACTTGGTGGCTCGAGGATGGAAGGAGGTGCTCTAGCGGTTGATGCCAAAGAGCTGCTTTGCGAACTCGCTGGTGGGGCCCATGAGCGCCGGAAGGGTACTGGTGGTCGGCTCGACCCAGTCGACCATGCGCAGAGGCGGAACTTAGCGCAGCGGTGGCGAGATTCGCGGATGAGGATGAGCGAAGGAGGTGCTGTCGCTGCGGTGCCAACGGTGGATTGATGCCAAAGGTCGGGGAGCTGCTGCTTGAATGGTGATCGCTGCTAAGCGCTGCCGGGATGGAGAGAGAACCAAGAGAGAGATTCAGAAGAAGATGAGGAAGAAGATAATATGTAGGGCCCACGTCGTGACAGGGAGATGAAATATACGTCTTCAGATCGTCTGCGCCAGCGGCGGCGTATTCGGCATTTTTACGGAGAGAGAATTGTAATAGCACATTTCTAAATAGACGAATAGTAATAGCGTTCTTCGAAAACGAAGAAATTATAACGGCTTAGATCCGATTAACCCTTCGAACACATCCAGCTTCCGCCTCTTCGATGATAGGTCCGACCTCCGATCTGTCCGGAGCATTGCTCATCATAGCCGACGTAATTCTAGCACAGTCTGATTCAAGAATAATCTGTGGGAGCAGAATAGAGAGGGAGCAGGGAAAAGAAGGCCCCCGCGTCGTCCCTCCCGTGGGCGACACGGGCGGCGACCCAGCCAACTCCACCGCCGCCCCCCTCCCACCCATCCCCTCCCAGCTGGCTGTGCAAAGCGATGAAGGCAGCAGCGGGGCCCTACATCCCCTTCTCTCCTAGTTTCCCCGCATCCATGGCTGCCGACACCGCCTCCCCCACACCCTGCTCCGACGGATCCGGCGATTCGGGTGGCGACAGGGCGGATCCAGGGCCTCCATGGCCGGATCTGCTCTCTCCCTGCTCGGATCTGTGGGTGGCGGGTCAGGTTCGGTGGCAGCAGGCCTGCGGCCGAGCGGTGCGTGCCCATGGCCGGCTGGCGTTCGCGCGGGTGCGGGCAACCTGGACAGTGGCTCGCGGCGACCTGGCAATGCCCGCGGCGGCCTGGCAGTGCGCGCTGGCGGGCGTTGCCAGCGATGGCCAGCGTGGAAAGGCGACGGCCGGCGCCCCCAACCCGCCGGCTGCGTGTGGAAGGTAACTGGCGGCGCCCCCAACCCCACCAGCACACGCGACGATGGCGGACAGGGCATTTTTACGCCGAGTGGGAGAGATCCGTAATTCAGCTGTTTTTAAATAGGTGGAATAGTAATGGCGTTCCAGCTGCCGAAAACGAAAGAAATTATAACGGGGCGATGCTTGCCGGTGAACCCTTCATCGTCGCAGGCATCCGGCGACAGGCACTGCCGCGCGCTTCCCATCATAGCGGGCGAGTCTCCGATCTGTCCGGCAGCATTGCTCATCATCGCGCCGAGTCGTAATTCTAGCACAGTCTGATTCAAGAATAATCTGTGGGCCCCCACCATCGCGGGTGAGTCCGAACAGCTCCGCGAGGTGTAGCGGTGACTGGCACCCCCTCCGACCAGCGCGGACGATTGCCGGTGCGCGCCTCCCACCGTTGCGGGCGATCGGCTCCGCGAGGTGTGGCGGCGACCGGCATCCCAACGACTCGCCAATTGGACAGGGGTTTTCCTTCTCGCATCACCTGTACCTGCGCTGTGTACTTCTTCTTTCCCTTTGCTATGTGACGGAGGAGTTGGATAAGGCGATTCCAAGCTCTCCCGGTAGCTAATCAGGAAGCCAACTGAAGATGACACTGAAGTGTCGCCAGAGCTGTGGCTGTGGGGGTGATATTGTTACGAGCTTGCCAGGCACGCCACAGCACTAACAAGATTAAACCACGCAGGTCCTTGGAGACCCTATCGAGCAGCAGAAGAAGCCAATCCTTGCCTGTGTAACTGAATTTTTTTTCATCCGGCAAATTCCAGTGCTGGCTCATGGCCTGCCGAAGCGCCCTTGCTTGCGGACATACAACCACAGCGTGGTAGCTTGTCTCATAACCATTGCCGCAAAGATCACATGTGGGCGTTGGCTCCAATTTTCTTTTGAATTTATTACCTTTTGTTGGGAGAATATCATTGTTGAGTTTCCAGCCAAAAATCTTGACCTTTGGTGGTGCGTCGCAGCTCCAAAGATTACTCCACAGCTTCCTTTCTCCATCAGGGCTAGAGCTGGACGAGGAAGCTTCCTCTCGAGACCGCTCAGATTGTAGGCGCTACGAACAGAGAACATACCTGTTTTCTCAGGGTGCCAGGCGACAAAATCTTCGGATCTCCTGGTTGAGAGTCTGATCCTTGATATTGTTTCCACATCGGCCGGACAGAACAAGCCACGGAGTTTACCATAGTCCCAGTCGCTCCCCTCGGCGTTCAAGAGCTCAGAGACCCAGTGGAGTCGGCATCTTCCTCTTCGAGATAGTACTTTATGCAAGAAATCCCTAGGAATCCAGGGGTCCCTCCAAATGCGGATTTGACGCCCGTCTCCGACTCTCCAAATAATTCCCTTGAGAAGGTTTAAACCATGCATTATTGCCTGCCACGAAGATGAAGGGCCGCGAGATACGGGACGCGGCAGCCACGGCCACGGCCACGGCCACGGTCATGGCTTGTGAATGTACACATGCACATTGGGTATATGCTCGTTGGGTATATGCTCAATCTCATGGTTGGACCTGATCCTGCTTTTCTGGAATGGGAAAGATCCAAGACTGAAAAAGCTGCTGAACTTTGGGCCACTTTCTTTTCCAAAGGTAACTCCAATAGCCTTCATATTAAAACCCTTTCTCATTGGGCCCAAATCTTCACTGTTCTCCTGTTGTCTCCCAATAATTACTCCTGGGCCAAAGATTTTTTGTCATCCAATACCTCCTCCTGCCTAAACCTTAATGATGTCAATATAATTTTTTTCCTTCCTGCAAAATGTCCTTCTGACAAAGCCTTGCCTTGTCCTAATATTAATGATGTTTCAGTCGTGGATAAAGAAGGCCCGGCTCTAAACCTGAACCTTACTCCTTCAAAAAAGAGGACAAGCAGAAAGGACACTCCTGTGCACTCAGGAGTAGCGGGCTCAAAGAAGTAAGCAATGGTTTCAGGGCAACCTCTTGTTCAAGCCAAAAATGTTTAGCTTGTTCCCCTAATCCACCCTCAATTCCCATCCAAGCCATCCCTTGGCACTAAAATCTGTGATTTGAAACAGGATGATGTTTCTGAAGAGGCCCTGCTAAAGAAGAGCAGGCAGGCAAGCCCCATTGCCCCCAAGAAAGGCAATAAGGCCTCAGGTAGCCAGAATCAAGACATGAAGAATGAGGGTGTGCAGCAGGATCCAGGGCAGGACCAGATGGAGGAATGATAGGCCCCCAACTGGAGATAAATCAGTTAGAAAAAAGAATGAAGCTTTTGTTAGGAATGTCCGGTTCTTCTTTGGTTAATCCTAGATTAGTCTCAAAGGTCTTATTGTCAGTTGTAATGGATGTACCAACTATGTCTCAGTTAAATCGGAAATGATAGGACACGGGCGTCCGTCCCGTCCGGATGCCACGTGCCTGGGCCTGCGGACCAGCTGGTCCAATAAACCGCCCGTCCGTCCCCTTATGTTGCTCCTGCTCGCCTCGCGCCACTCCTCCTCCGCCGCCCCTTCCGTTGCTTCTACCGCTTTGTCCCGCGCTGCTTCTGCTCCTCCTCCGCTGCCCGCCCCGCTGCCCTTGCTCTTGCTCCGTGTGCTTGTCTCGCTGCTCCTACCACTGCTCTGTCGCCCGCGCCCGCTGCTCCTGCTCCACCCCCCCCCCTCGACGACGTTGACAAGCGTCGCCAACGTAAGGAGAAGCGTCAGGCCCTGGCGCGGAAGCCCTCCAACCTCGCCTGCTCTTATGGCTACGGCGCCTCGATGCTGACGGTGGAGGCTGCACCGGGATATGATGCATGTGCGTGTTGCAAGACCACGCTTCATATGTTTCAGATGTTTTAGAGGGATGTTGCAAGCGTTTTCATACGGATGTTGCAATAGTAGATCGGGATGTTGCATATGTTGCAATGGTTCTACACGGATGTTGCAAGAGTCTGTCTTCAATGTTTCATTTGTTTTTCAGACGTATGTTGCAAGCTTGGTTATTTGGATGTTGCATATGTTTTCACACATATGTTGTAAGTGTATTATCTGGATGTTGTGTATGTCTGCAATGGTTTTCATGTATTTTTCAAGTGTTTTTGCTAGTGTTTCAGACGTATCTTTCAAGTGTTTCATCTGTCTTTTTAGTATGTTGCAAGTGTTGCATCCGAATATTTTAAAAGTAGATCAGGTGTTGCACATGGGATACACGTGGGAAGCTAGAGGGGCGCAAGCGGTCTCGGCGGTCGTGCGGCGTGGACCCCTGTGTGCTCGCGAGACGCAGGCGCGAGCGAGCAACGTTCAGTCGGCGTGGGCCCATGCGTGGACGCAGGAAAATGGACTGTAGTTGTGGGCGTCCGTGTGGATGTCCGGGCGCTAGTAGTTCCGCACTTAAATCTATCAAATGTCAGACTATATTGTTTTTGGGGTCAGATAACTGAGACCCTAAATATTAGATATTCTATCCTTTTACCATGAATCAAAATAATGGAGTGTCCTAAGTTGGAATATGAGGGGCATGAATTCCCCGTCTAAATGGAATGCTATCAGGGACAAAGTCACTGAAACTGTCTATGATATCATATGCTTCTAGGAAACAAAGAAATAATTTCTTGATTTGGCCTTTATTAAAAATGTCTGCCCATCAAGGATTGATGCTTTTGAATTTCTTGCCTCAGTTGGAGCTTTAGGTGGCCTCCTGATTGCTTGGAAAAGCAAGGAGAACTAGTCTTCGGTAATGAGTATATTATTTCGGTTGAATTTCATTCCCAACATAATGATAGCTATTGGCTGCTAACCAATGTTTATGCACCTTGTCAAGCAGAAGGGAAAATAGCCTTTCTAGAATAGCTGAAAGAAATTCAGATGCCTGAAGATATAGACTGGCTGATTCTGGGTGATTTTAATCTGATCAGAAGGCCAGAGAACAGAAATATACAGGGTGGAAGCTTAATGGAAATGTTCATTTTAATGAGGCAATCAGTGCCCTGGGTCTCAATGAAATTGCTCTGCAGGAGAGAATATACTTGGTCGAATAAACAGATTTCACCTCTTCTAGAGAAACTTGATTGGGCTTTTACCTCAAACTCCTGGGTGCTCTCCTACCCTGATACATCTCTCTCTCTGCCCTTGATATGACCCCTTCTGATCACTGCCCTTGTGTGGTCAAAATTTCTAGCCACATCCCTAAAGGTGGCATTTTTAGATTTGAAAACTATGGGCCTAAACATGGAAATTTTTGGTAACATTGTTAATGAGGGTTGGTCCATCATTACTCCTCACCAAGATTGTGCCAGAATTATAACTGCTAAGTTCAAGAATTTGAAGAAATTGCTAAAAGAGTGGAAAAAGAATCTATCTAACCTTAAAACAGTCATTTCTAATATAAAAAAAATGTTCTTCTCTTCTTGGATGTACCAGAAGAATTTAGAGATCTAACTTTGGCTAAATGGAACTTTAGGGAAATTCTTAAGAGTAAGCTAAATGACCTCCTTGATCTATAGGAAACATACTGGAGGCAAAGAGGAGCAATTAAATGGGTCAAACTGGGGGACAACTAATACAAAATTCTTCCATGCCAATGCTTCTATCAGGCACAGAGGAAATCTTATTAAACAGCTTGTCTCTGACCAAGGTGTCACTCTCCACTCCCACCAAGACAAAGAAACAGTTATTTGGCATGAATTTAAAGAGAGGCTTGCAACTACAAATTTCATTGCCTTCACTATTGATCCTTCTGTTTTCATTCAGAGATTTAAAAACATGGATTTTCTTGAGGATCCTTTCATGCCTCAGGAAATTGATGATATTGTTAAGAGCCTTCCCAATGATAAATCCCCTGGTCCTAATGGCTTTAATAATGAATTTCTAAAGTCTTGCTGGCAAATTATTAAGGCTGATTTCTATAATCTTTGTAATGTCTTAAAAGCATTAAAAAACCTTCATTACTCTCATTCCAAAAATGGATGGGCCAACAACTATTTATGACTTTAGGCCTATCTCTTTGCTTAACACCTCAGTTAAACTCATCACCAAACTCCTGGCTAATAGACTACAATCTGTTATCACCAAGCTAGTCCACACCAGTCAAATCCAGAACCATCCAAGACTGTCTTGGGTGGGCTTTTGAATATTACACCTATGCCATCACTCAAAGAAAGAAATTGTAATTCTTAAGTTTGATTTTGAAAAGGCTTTTGATAGAATTGAACACCAAGCAATGCTGACACTAATGGAATGCAAAGGTTTTGGTCAAACATGGATCAACTGGATGAAAGAAATCTTCTCCTCAGCCACTTCTGCAGTGCTGCTCAATGGGGTACCAGGAAAGACTTTTCATTGTAAAAGGTGGGTTAGGCATGGTGATCCCCTATCACCACTCTTGTTTGTTTTGGATGTAGACTTTCTTCAATCTCTTCTAACAAAGCAAAAGACCCAGGACTGATCAAACTCTCCAATTCCTCTGACATCAACATCTGATTGATGATACCCTGGTCATTATGGAAGGTGACCCCTGTCAGCTTATCTTCCTAAAGTATGTGCTCAACACATTTGCAGAATGTACTGGCCTGAAGGTGAACTATAGAAAATCAATGATGCTCCCCATCAATATGAATGAGGAAAGGTAAGAACACCTGGCCAGAACATTTGGATGTTCCAAAGGTTCTCTGCCATTTACCTATCTGGGACTGCCACTGGGTCTAACGAAGCCAAGAGTGCAAGATTACTTACCTTTGGTAAATAAGTGTGAAAGAAGGCTTGCTAGTGTATCCACATTCCTTTCTCAGGCTGGAAGGTTAGAGTGGACCAATGCAGTTTTCTCTGCATTACTAACCTTCTACATGTGCACTTTGGCCATCCCAAAAACTGTTATTAAATACATTGACAAATATAGAAAGCATTGTTTATGGAGAGGATCTGATATAAATGGAAGAAGTCAACCAAAAGCAGCTTGGCCAATGGTCTGTATTCCAAAGGAAGAAGGTGGTCTGGGAGTGATCAATATTGAAGAACAGAATAAAACACTCTTGCTCAAAAAGATGCATAAATTCTTCAATAAAGCAGAGATTCCTTGGGTGCAGTTAATATGGGAAAAGCATTACTCCAATGGTAGGCTCCCAAGCAATATAAAGAAAGGGTCCTTCTGGGGCAAATGCAATCTGAAGAATCTGCAGAGCTTCAAGCAATTGGCAGCAGTGCAAATCAACAATGGAAAGACCTGCTTATTCTGGAAGGATAATTGGGTTGGCCGAAGTCTAGAGGCCACTCATCCAGAGCTCTTCTCTTTTGCCAGAAAGAAAATGATATCTGTAGCAGAAGTCTGGGAGCATGAAGACTTAACCTAGCTGTTTCATCTTCCCGTTTCAGAAATGCCTTACATTCAGTTGCAGATTTTGAACCAGACACTATCTGACATACACCTCAGTGGAGAAAAGGACATTTGGCAGTATAGATGGGGAAAAGATTTCTCATCATCAAGAGCTTATAAGATTCTGATTGGCCACTCACAGCATCACATTTCCATCCAATGGATTTTGGAAAACTTTCTACCAGCCTAAGCATAGAGTATTCTTTTTGCTCCTGCTCAAAGATAGACTCAGCACAAGAAATATCCTCAGAAGGAAAAAGACATGTTCTTGTCCTCTTATAGCTGTGTTCTTTGTGGTTTGGATGCTGAAGAAACACTTCAACATCTATTCCTGCAATGTCAGTTTGCAAAGCAATGTTGGCAAATAATTGGGATTGATATTCCATCGGATGCAGACTTTCCTGAAGTCATGTTTTTCCTCTGGGATACCCTGCATTCCCAATTCTTCATGGCTGTCATCATCCTCGTGTGCTGGGCTATTTGGATCTCGCAATGCATACATCTTCAATGGTCTGGAACCGTCAGGTGCAAACAACAGATCAACCTTCTTCAGAGAATTGCAGTTTCTGACACAGAGTCAGCTCAAGATTTGCTTAATCGTTTGATCAATGGCTTTGCTCACTTTTATAGTTGCTGCTCTCTTTTTGATTTTCTTTGTTTCCTTCTTTGTTTCCTGAACTATGTTCGTAATTTCTTGGCACTGTTCGGTTCCCTTTAATGTTTAATAAAATTTAACTATAGGGCGCAAGCCCCTCCAGATTCCTAAAAAAAGTGGTCAAGAGCATTGAGGAGTTGTCTTTTCTTTGCGTGAAAAGCTGTGAAGACAACTCCGGCGGGAAAAGGATGGATTGGGTACCATGCTTCAACTTGTGTATTC